GGGACTTGTTGATGTTGCCAACTGAAGTGGCCCGGGGTAATAAAAATTGTAAAAAATAATTATAAGGTTGTCTCTTCTATAATTCCGATAAAATTGGAACGATACAGAAAAATTTATGGAAGGCATCAACTTTATATTGTAGAAGTAAGGTACACCTCAAAAACTCATTAGAAAATGTTCTTCCAATGCTGAAAAACCATTCAATTTATCATATTGACCTCAAGAGATATGAATATGAAAAAAATAGGACTTTCAAGTCCTAAAATAGTGCATCTTGTAAGATATTATTTGAACCGTTTATTTATCAAAATTTTCAAGTGTTTACATATTGCTTAATCTAGACTACTTTTAGAGTTTTAAATTTCATAACTTGATGCGAAAATGTCTTTTCAAGCCGTAATAAAATTTTATGGCACCTGAACTGCATATTTTAAGAGGGTCAAGGGGTACCGCCTATTTTGATTGTTTAAAGTGAGTACGTTATATAAATTACACCCATAAATATATCCATGTTCATTCAAAGTTGGCAACATAGAACAAGGTTTACAAATGAAAGCAAAGACTATTATTAATAGAAGCATTTTATATAAGGGCGAGTTCCTAAACAATTAAATCAAGGCATGGATCAAAAATCTATTAGAAAAGGTTATTTCAATGCTAAAAATTCTTCAAATCGATCATCTCAGCCTCAAGATATATGAACGGCCTCAAGATGTATGGACATGAGAAAAAATGGATTTCAAGTTTTGGAAATAGTTCATCTTATAATTTATTTATGGTCTGTCAATTTTCAAAAAATTTCAAGTGTTTATAGATCTGCTTAATCTGCACTATCTTTTAAGCTTTAAATCTTATAATTAGATATAAAAATAAAATTTCAAGCCATCACAAAGGTTTCCAGTACTGAAAAATATATTCTGGCACTATTTAAAGGTGCGCCTTACTTTGATTGTTTGGGGCCTCAGCCCTATACAAACGACACCCATTATTAGTTGGATGGATGACACTGACATGCATAATACACCTCTATTTTTTTCTTACTAGTTCTTTTTTTTTTTTGTGTTAACTATATTATTATCAAAATCTGTGCAATGAGGAGAAGTTCATTTAAGCAAAAAGAGAAGAGAAAAACATTTATACTAATAAAAATATGGGATCCACACAATCAAAGAGGACCACAAACCAGGTATTCAGTTGAAGTTAATATTACACTGCTCTGCTTTACAGACCCTTTCCATTTTCCATTTCACCCCTTGTGTCTGCATCATTAATGATTCCCTCTGGATATCTTGTTGTCACCAAATTGTCAGTTCCATGATTCGTCAATCTACGCCATTGTCTAGAAAATCACCTAGGCCCAAAGGACCTGATCGAGCCGAGTTACTCTATATAAATTTAAAAACAAAAAATTTGAAAATAGTAAAAACTACTAAAAGTTAAATAAAACCAAAAGCAGCTTTAAAAACTTGAAATAAGTTTAAAAAAGTGCATAAAAAAATAAATTTAATTTATAACATTTGATTCACAGATGGTGACATTTTAAAAAATCCAAAATAAAAAATAAAAAAAATAAAGATTTTCCCGAAAAAGAGACCAATCTTTACCAAAGACATCTAAAAATACATAAAAATTTATATAAAAATCCTAAATTTTTAGAATTTTTTTGGAATCTTTTGTTATCTGTTTTATTTACCCTGATTGTTATACTCAACTTAGGGCAACTCGGCCTCAACCATAGGACGAGGCCGAGTCAATTGACAGAGTCCGAGTGAACTTACACTGCTGTAAACTATGAGCTTCCTGATATGCTATCAAGCGCACTTCTTTGTTGCCTCATAAGTTTCTTGGCATGTTTTAAAGGTGCAAATGTACAATGAAAAACTTTGGCAAAATCACAATGAACATTATTTTGCCAAACTTGTCAGTTGAACTCAGTGATTCAAAAATCGAAATAGGATTGCTAATCTCCAAGGGAAAATCCCAAATCTCATTGTCTGACTCGGATGATTATTGTGTATGTCCAGGCTGCAATTGATAGTAAAAAACAAGAGGAAAAGTGGTTTATGCGTTGGGGGATGTAGAACTACATCTGAATCCCCTGAACCATCACACCTACATCTTTAACTAAAGATGTATGTGGAATTGTAGACTCTCTGGAAAAAGGTAAAATCTACAGTTTAAAAATTTCTTTCAAAATTTTATCCTTTTTAGTTTTTAAAATGTATTTATCTTTTCACATTCATGATCTTCATGTCATAAATTATCATCATCATTCGAGCCTTATCCCTACTATTTGGGATACCGCACGAGTCATATTCTGACATCCCTCTCTATCTCGTTATTCACAAAATAGATGTAATAAAAATTTTATGCTTGATGCCAACCTAACACAACCGGCCTCCTTCTCTAGACTTGGGACCGGCATGACCTGCTCCGGGCCAGTAATGGCAAACTACCAAGTTAGAGATTATATGAATGAATATGGAAGAAGAGATTAACTATGGCTAAGGGTCTCGTTTCCGGTAGATAAGAAGTCTCCCTCTCCTTTAGGTATTGGTAGAATATCAGTAAGACCTTCTTGTTGTAGTTCCTACTGTTTTAAAGCAACAACCTAGCTATTGGAGGAAAGGGATGGTAAGAGCCTAATAAATGGAAAGACAACTTACTACCCCACCTATAAAAGGTCAGAGTCCTCTATCTAATTCAGAGAAGGGTTTGCTTTTCTTTTGAAAGGGTAGGTGGGTCAGAGTCCTCTATCTAACTTAGAGGAGGGTTTGCTTTTCTTTTGTGTCGAATTGAAGTAAAGGGGATAACCTCAATACTAGAAGAGGAAAGCAAGATAAGGATTCAGTTTCGCTTGATTGCTCGCTTGTCTTGCATCATCTCTCGGTTTCATGGTAACATGGTTGAAGAAGTCTATATAGACCAACTTTCTGGATTTATCCAGCCTATAGACCAACTTTCTGGATTTATCCAGCCTCAGGAAAAAGGGCTTGTCTGTCTCTTTCGGAAAGCGAACCTAAAAGATTAGGTCCAAAATCCATCTCATAAGTTAAGATAATGAAGAATAGACACATATATATACATGAGTCCTAGGACTCATAAAAACCATGTCCAAACTAAAAAAGAATTGAAAAATCAGCCAATTAGACAATATTGGCGCTCCTTGAACTTGAATCGCGCACCTACAAAACCAATCGAAATCTAGCGATTCCAACTCGAATAAAACTACTGCTAAGTTGACCCTTACAAAATATCTACTAGAAAACTTAAAGAAGGAAATTTGTTCCATGAGTAAGCGGGTGCAAGAGCCCCAAAAATCCCCGGGTCAAATCAAATATGGATGGTATCAAAAATATCCTCAAAAAAATATATATATATTTTAAGTAAAAAAAAAAAACGAAAAATTATATACATATCCATTATAGTTTTCGTTATTATGGTTCTACCGAATAGTTTTTGTTATTACCACCGTATCCATTTTATTCATGTCGAAACGAAAATTTAAAAAAAAGACGACTTCACCATATTTCTCCTAATCTTCTAATCTCATAATCCCTAAGATTTCTCCTAAAGTTATGGGCTCAAACTAGTTGTTCCCTTTTGATTTTATCGGATAACTATTAGAGAGGTAGAGAAATACGCCACAAGAGAGAGAAAGCAATTTTCTGTCCTTCAACCAAAATTTTCGATTCTTCAATAACCGAAATTGGTGAATGGTGTATTTTTCAGTTGTTGAACAACAAAAATTACTTTGAATTCAGTTGTTCAACAACCGAAAAAAGGTAAAGTAGTCTTTTTTAAAAATTTATGTTCTGACATGAAAAAAACAGACATGGTGGTAATAACGGAAACTATTTGGTAGAGCAATAATAACGGAAACTATAACAGATATGTATATAATTTTATCTAAAAAATTGTGCTTGGGAGCTACAGGTCTAGCATTAGGACACGGGACATTTCATCGTGCTTGGGAGCTACAGGTCTAGTATAAGGACATGGGGGTTAACGGTCTCATTGCAACACTGTATCTCAAGTTCAATTCTAGTATTGAATTTGAAAAAATCATCATCAAAGTCTTTTTACAACTATTTGGAGTTGGCTAAATGAATCTTAGTCCATTATTCTACTCTGTTAAGAGCCACACCCTCAGTAATCCTGATCTATCATTCTACTCTATTAAGGGTCACACCCTCAGTAAAACTATAAATCCTCATATCATATGTCCTTTTCAACCTACTTCTAACTCTTTTTTAACCTTCCACTTAAACTAACTCGCACTTTTTAACATGTGTTGTACTGAATCTACTATACATATGACTAGCCCACTTAGATCTACTTTATCTCATATTATCGTCTATTGGTGCCACATCTAAGTTATCCCAAATACATTCATTTCAAATCTATCCTTTCAACCACTCATCCATCTCAACATTGAATTTCTAAAAATAAAAAATAAAAAAACAAAAAAGCTTAAAAGTTTGCATGTCAATGATTTATTGATTAAAAATAAGAACAAGCCCTTGAATTGCAAAAGGTCCAATTCCAGTTCACCCAATCTGAGTCGAGCGATTCTTGAGTGGGATTGAATTGCACATAACAGAAAATAAAAGAATCCCTAACAAGCTGGTAGAATGAGGCCATTCCAAGGGTTCCTTACACCAGAAACGCCCACTTCTTGATCCCAATCTGCCTTGGCCATGGCCAAGGCCAATAACCGAGCCTGCTCGGTTATTCTCCATTGTTAGATGGAGATTTCCTCAAACCAAAACCCCAACCCCCAATTATCGATCAAACTCAGCCAGTTCCGAGCCTGATCAGTGATGCTTTAGGTTAGATGTTTGTTTGATCAGTGATTCTTTACGTTAGATGTTTGTTTGTGTATATTGTGCACAATTTGCCTATGCACTTGCTGAGTTTTCACACAAAAAAATGGAAAAAACAAATTATATGCCATCCAACCACATGATGAAAAGAATAAAAGATTCATAATGCACGCCTTATCAAGGAAATTGGCGGAGCTCTTCTCGATGAATATGAGGTCTACAACCCATGATCGGGGGCTTTCAAATGGCATGGATGCAAAACCAAATCAAAAGGAACATAAGGCTCCTCTCCAAATGGCGAAGTACAAGAGATCTAATAAAAAATGCGCCTATACATCCATGCCATGCATCCACACCTCATCACCATATCATCATCTCCATCGACATTATCCATACGCTCTAGCGCTCGATTTGTATGGTAACATGGCTGATGTTGTACTCTCTTTGCAGGTACCCAATCACCTTGTCCAACACATGATCTGCATCCGCCTCAGGTTGGATCTTCACATGGCATGCCAAGAGGATCTTCCCCACTGTGATAGCCCATATATGAAGCTCATGGACAGCCACTACCTCCTCCATCTCACATAACCCTTGCTCCAATCTAGTAGCATCAATCTCTCTTGGTGTACTCTCCATTAGAACCTCCAATATATTCCTAAGCATTTGGATGGTGGTTCCCAAAACAATCACCGAGAAAACGAGAGTGCATATAAGGTCTATTATCTTCCACTTCGGCTTGTACCAAATCAGAGCCCCACCTATCATGACCCCGATGCTTTGAATCGAGTCCCCGAGAACATGAAGATAAGCCCCTTGCAAATTGATATTTCTTTGCTTCTTGCTCTCACCATTTTCTCTATGGTTTTCAGTTTCATTGGTGCACCTGCATTCAATCAAGGGGTCTCTTGGGTTGTCTTCATCCTGACACACTGCTTTCCCGTGCTCATGGTAATGATGATGAGTTGTAACAATGGGACCATGATCATGGCCATACCCTGATGAGTGGGCATGGTCATGGATGTGGGCATGCTCACGCCCATGGCCATCTCCATTACCATGGTTGTGATCATGATGCCCATGTCCATGACCATGGTCATGACCCAGCAGAACAGCCATGATGATATTCACAACCAGCCCAAAAGCGGCAACTAAAAACATAAGGAAACCTTGAACTTCACCCGTGTCATTGACGATCCTAGCAATGGCTTCATAGACCAGGATCCCAGCTAGGAGCCAAATCATTTGAATCGAAACCAGTGCACCAAGGATCTCAATGCGAAAGAAACCATACGATTGGCGTGGGGTTGCTTCCCAACCTGATGCCCATAACGAGAACAAGGAGATAGCAAATGCAGCGACATCAGAGAGGAGGTGAGCAGCATCAGTTAAGATTGCGAGACTGTTAGCTTTTATACCACCAGCTACTTCAATACTCATGAATATTATGCACAAAACCACGGCCATCACCAGTTTTCTCATGGATGCCATCCGCTCTTTTGAATCTTTAGCACTGCTCACAGCATCGGAAAACCCGCAGGCTGCTGCCCCACAGCTCTTACTAGCACCCTGGCTTGGCCTTCCCACCGGCACATCTCCAATAATTTCTATTACCTGCCCATGTGGGTGACTCTGTGCCTCCATCTGAAATATCAGAACAGATACGAGCAAAAATATTGTCAAAAAGAAGGATGCGCATAGTGATCTTTGTAAATGAATGTGTTACATAAGTTTTAACATTCTGCAAATATATATCAGGTGTGTGTTTTATTTACATGGTGTTCCAGACAAACCCGCACACACATTCTTTCATATAGAATGTACTCCAAATTGCTTTTAACAGGATCAGAAAAAATTAGCAGAAGCACATAATTGATGAGGAATAAGAATGTCTTGCAACACATTCAGACAAATCAGTTGAAAGTGTCAGATTTGAATGAAGCAAAAGAGAATGTCATAAACTTTAGGCTAAGGGACTATTTACCTACATAAATTACATACAATCAGACAAAATAAAGTTATAGGCACTTACAGACTTACTCCACCCCAAAAGTCCACATAGAAGCAACTACCATACAAATAGTGCCAAAACTCACACCCCAAGGTCAACTTATTGGAGAAGAACAGGCATTGAGACTTTGCGCACTAAAGACCAACATCGACCTGGGAGATATCTAAGCAAACATGTCTCCAGGATGATGAAGATTGGATCTATTGTGGTGAGAAAAACGGTCAGGAACTTCTTTCAAATGGAACAACAATTGACTTCAATGTGCTTGCTCTGGGCATAGAATACTACCTTTCATCAAATCTAAATGGCTCTATGATTGTTATGGATAAAACACCTTTAAACAAAGAGTAGGTTGCGAAACCACCTCCCAGCACTTGTTATAAGCATTGTACCTTTCTTTAAGGAAACTAAGTCTTGTATATCTAAACTAGAATATGTTGCAAGCTGAAGTCTTCATGCAGAAAGCATCAAAGGTTAGTATCGATGAGAGAAATGTATGTATTTGATGATGCAAAGGTCGCCAACACAAGTTGCTAATGAGAAGAAACCATATACATGGCCAAGAAATTGTTAAATATCCCATCTATAATGAGTAAGAGTAGAAACGAGATCGTCCATCCATATAAATGACTCTCACAATCAATGGAGCAGGATATCCACAATTCAACCCAAACAACCACTATATAACATAATACGTGGTGCACAAAGTAACTAATATCTGATATGCTCCACAACAATCACATGGAGCCGAGAATGAAGGTTACAATTAAGCTAAGCACTAGACATCCTTTCTTCTCCAAAAAGAATAATTTAGATAAAGGCAAGAAGTAATCCTTCTCAACAAAAATCACACAAACAAGAAGCTATCACATCAAACGTGGTCGATAAAATTGAAACCCAATGACCCATGATGGAGTCTGAGAACGCTGTATCAGATGTGGTGGCATGGTAACATTCACAAATAGATTGCAAGGAACAAAGACACACTACCCATCAAGCTAAAAATGGTATTTGTGGTGAGAGACCTGGCTGCATGAAGGAAGTTCAGCATTAAAATGAGAAGTTCCCTAAAAAATGAGGGACATATCAGGCATTTGATAGCAATGTATCACGATGTTATGGAAACATTCACAGGTACATTGCAGTGAATAAAGTCACTACACACATCAAGCTAAAAATTATCCTTGTGGTGAGAGACCTGGTTTGCATGAGGGTAGTCCTCGCATATAATTGAAAACTTCCCCCAAACCAAATGAAGTTAACCTTGGCCTTAAAGAAAGGAAAAGAGATCCTAGGGTCAGATAGTTGCAAGAGAAGTAATAGGGCAAATACATTATCGTGGCCTTGGCAAAAATCTTCTTTTAGTCAAATACCATCTTGCCAAGAAGCTGGGTATTAAACTGAGACAAACAAACCTGGTCTCTTTTGGTCAATTTGTACATCCATCTTAATAGGAGTGACATGTCTGCCTGTCCAATCTTTCACTTTTAGTTGCCATTCATTCCTCCCAAAGCACAAATCTTTGGATGATCAATTTCCCTTGACATTGCATTGATCGCTATCTCCTTTTACCCTATAAAACCCAATTTCACGAATGTATGGATCATGTAGCATATGAAATTATGGATCCCAGGAAAACTTTCACCCCTTTTAAACTATGAAAACCAATGTCTCAAATAAACGTTTTTCCTAAGTAAGTTGATAGGATGAAGTACCTACAAATGCTCAAACAACCTCTAAAATGTTGTCCATCTAAACTTTGATTTGGACCATCAAAAGAAGTTCCAAATCCCCATCTAACATCCATTAAATTGATGATCCCAATTTAATTTTGGGGCTGATTTGATTTATTGGCCCTTGGGTCACTAGAACGTTTTTGCTTATATACAAACACACACACATCCATGCACACATTGCACATTTATAGGATATTTTTCCATTAAGACACTTCAATAGGGGTGCTTAGACAAGAGTAACAAGACCACCAGCACATAGTAACATATGGTTGGAGAGATATGAGGAAAAAGGCATTGAGCCCTTCCTGCCCCCTCCCCGGGGGGAAGGGGGACTTTTAAACTGAAAAATGTATCACAGCTGACGAGTTCTGATAGAATAACTGACTCTAGCTGTTCCAGTGGTCATGTTTAGTGTTTCACTTTCACTTTCTTCTACTGTCTTGCCTCGCCTTGTTCACTAGAGCACCATTTCTAGTTGCTAAAGACCACTTTCTTAGCAAGCCCTAACTTCTCATCTTCACCTGCACCTACTTAGATGGCTGACTCAGGAATGTAGCCCGTCATATTGCTTGTCATATTCTTTGCTAAGCAATAGCTCCATTGTGTGTGACGCAATATTCATTACAATCTACTCACTCACTCCATTCCCTCTTTAGAACCCTTTTCATTCATCTTCAACTGATTAGCCTGTGTTTTACAGTCCTGGTATTTCTTTTCATGTATCATTTATTAGTCAAGTTGTTGGTTGCAATTCCTCGTCATCATCTTTATCATCTTAACCTTATCCCTACTATTTGTGGTCAGCTACACGAATCTCGCTCTGCCATTTTGGCTATGGGATACATGAATCTCATTTATTAGTCAAGGGCCATATTCTCAGTCAAACCATAAGTCACCAATTACCTTAATCAAAGTTGGCTGCAATTCCTCAATTACCTTAATCGAAGTTCAACTGCCTTGGACCAATATGCTCGTCATGCACATAATCAAGTGAGCAACAAGCCAACTGAAAATTAGTAGGACATTTGGATTTAATGCATAAAGCCTTCTGGCTATGGGCTATGGAGATCTCCAGCAGAAGATTAATTCACCATGTGGGTTCATCGCACATAGCATGGGCACTTACTTTGGGTGGGGCGAAAGATATTCAGTTAGTTATGAGAAGGCCTGTTAGGGGAGGAGAAATATGACATCCATGAGTAGTTCGTCTAAGACTTCAATAGGTTTAGGTTGGGAACAAGAGTGGAGTTCGCTTTTTGGTGTGATGATTGGTGCAATGAGTTCAATCTTCAAATTGTTTCTCATTGCTCAAAGAAATTGCCATCAGCTAAGACATGTTTGTCAAGCAGTGCTAGTGCTAGTGGTTATATCGTAGAATGTTTTTTTAGAAAAAATTGTTAATTGTACATTGCAGAATGTTTGTACTAGGTAACTCAGGTTCATCTTTCCTTATCGATGCACAAGGTAATATGGGGCTGAGTGACTATTGGGTGTTTTCTTTCAAGCTTTTAGTCTAAGTTCCACAAGGAGTGGACATATCTATGAGTCTGATCTTTCTCTTTTAGACTCCATTCGTGCTTGCTAGAGTGCGAGCCTTTAAATAACTCGTTTCCCTTGAAATTGCATTAATACCTATGACTTCCTTTACACTATGAAAACCAGTTCCCCGAATGTCTATCTTATATCACGATCTTATGTCAAGTGGAGGAGGAGAATGTGGATCCTCTTTTTCTTCTAGCTCTTTCTGGTATTACTTATGTTGTTCTTCGACTTGATTGGATTCGGCAGATCTTACTGTGAGTGGCAACTTCTTTGATTTTTGAATTTGATTGATGGAATACCTGTAATATCTATGTGGTATATATGTCTCCACTCATCTTTTGTAGCTTCTTGTTAAAGCCATATCTGAGAGGATCCATGATATTCTGGTTCATAGTTGCTAGATCTCCCAAAGTAGGTGGACATCCCATTCTAGAATCTTGATCCGGCAGTCCGAGAAAGGGATCTTGATCTTTAAATTCTAGGCTCTCGATCCCCATTGTTAGGGATCTCGACTCCCACTATAATGAACATGATAACGACCAAACTGATTATTTTCTTTATCTATAGCCAGCTAGCAATGCAATTATATTTTTAATACAGTTGCACTGTTGCTTCATCATCATCATCACCATCACCACCATCACCATTCGAACCTTATCCCAACTATTTAGGGTTGACTACACGAATTTTGTTTCTCCATTCCGCTTTATCAAGTACCAGTCAAGCTATAAGCCACTATATCTCCTTTCACTACTTTCATCCATGTCCTTTGGGCTTTCTTCCTTGCCCTTTTCGAGCATCTCACGTGCACTAAATTGCCCCTCCTCCTAACCGGTGTTGTTCAAGGTCAATGTAGCACATGGCTAGATTACTTAAGTCTACTTTCCCTCATCGACATGTCGTTTCTTGACTACTTTATATTCTGTCCCATAAAGAATGGCTGGTCTTGCATCTGTCCTATAGAATTTCCCCTTTAGTTTCATTTGTATGTGACAATCACTAAGACTACAAAAGAACATCTCCACTTCGCCACCCAGATTTAATTCTATGAGCGGCACCTTCCTCAATTTCTCTGTTCTCATAGATTATCGACCCAAGATATTGAAAATAATTTTTTATATTACTCCTATTATTACTAAACTTGCATTTCATATATTCTATCTTAGTCTAGCTAATTTTAAAATATTTAAATTCTAGAGCATTCCTCCAAAGTTCTAAATTTGCATTAACATTCTCTCTAGTTTCATCTATCAAAGCTATATCATCTATAAAAAGCATACACCACAGTTACCTCACCCTGTAGATATTTAGTTAACCCATCCATAACCAAAGCAAAGAGATATGGGCTCAGACCT